CGCCCACGACGAAATCGTAGTGCAGCCATGGCGTGGGGCTGCCGCGCAGAGCATGCTCAAGCGCTGGTAGAACGGCCGAGCGGCCCGAAGGCACGTCGCGACGTGACGGAGGCTACCGAGAAGCCGCTGTAGGTCCACCATACAGATGCGGGCGGCTGCTGCTGCACGGTTAACTCGGGTAATCGCCTTCTTTACTTTGTCTGGAGGCATCGATACCGTTCTAGCCCCACTGTCCCAATCGAGACTGAGGACACGAGCTTTCGTGCTCCATGTCGTGAACTTGGACTCGTTGATCGCGGTTGGACCGAGCACGGCGAGCATAGCCAACCGCAGAGTGTCTTCAGCAACGGCACACCTCTCACCGAGATCCGACTCCATCATCACGTGGTCGTCCACCCACTCGTACGCAAAGAATGGCGTTGCATCTGGGTGACCCGGCCACATTGAAGCCGGAGACTCGCGACCCACGATGGTGGAAATGGCTCGCCCAAACACGCTATAGAGCGCCGGTGAACCGGTCCACCCGAACGGCGCCGACAGATCTATGACGCCAGCCTGTAAATGACCAAGACGCCCACCCATTCGGTGTACGTCGGGCGCGTGCTGACGTAGGTGGCGGAATGCACCTTGTACGTCACCCTTAAGAATAAGAATGCGGACACCTGGGTGCACCGCCGCGAGATGTTCTATACGCTCGGCCAGCGCGCTGAAAGGTTGATATGGAACATATGGCAATGAGCTTTGTATCGTGTGGCTGTTGACGCAGTCGTCCAACGGGAAGGCAAGGTCATGGATTAGCCGGATCGCATGCATACTCCGTGCGTCGGATTTCGGCACGGCGCCGAACGGACTGATTGTGACGTGCCAACGCTCGAGAAGCTTCTCATCGACCACCAGGTAGGTACCAACAGCCTCCCCTTCCAAAATTTTGGCTCTCACGCCCGCACCGTGGCAGTCAGCCGAACGGTGGTTCGACGGACATGAACGCGTTCGTGGGAGTCGCTCGGACCACTCCGCCTTGAACCCACTCGTAGCAATTTGAACCATTAAATCGAGGTGCTCGTAATCTTGGAGAAGCTGTCGTTGCTGGATGAGTGCTTTGTTTGGTCGAGGGTCATCATCCGTCTCCCCGCGCACTAAACGAACGAGATCCACTAGCGAAATGCTGCTTCTTTGGACCAGCGCGGATAGCGTTTGTCGTCGGGAGTGGTGGCTTCCTGGCTGTGGATGTAAACCAAAAGTGGCCAAGACGGCACGGCGGCGGCGAGACGTTGCTTGAGAGCTCTTAACCAACGCGCGGAGAAGTGATTCTTGCACACCGGCGCTCTGACAGACATACATCGAGGTTGCGTGGGAAGGAGCCCACACGAGCGTTCACAGGTGGTGGAGGTCACGGCGGAGGCCGCCGAAGCGCTGAATAATGTAGTCTCGCAGCAATTTAGGAAGAGGCTCTGTGGGTACGAAATGCGCTCGACTCTTGAAGTATTGGCACTGATCTGGCTTCCCCGGAGCTCCAGTACATCCTTGAATCGTG